AAGTGTTTTTACCCGGGTGCTCAACAGGAAGGGGCTTGATCCTGAGGATATCTATACTTGGCTGTATTGGATGAAAGATTCCTGAAAATATTTGACCACAATGTTCAGTTACACACAGCAAACTTGCATACCAGTCTGGCCATTTATATGTACATTGATATATATATATATATATATATATATATATATATATATATATATATATATATATATATATGTATATATATATATATATATATATATATATATATATATATATACACACATATGTGTGTGTGTGTGTGTGTGTGTGTGTGTGTGTGTGTGTGTGTGTGTGTGTGTGTGTGTGTGTGTGTGTGTGTGTGTGTGTGTGCTTATGCACCACAAACATTCCAGGAGGATGCAATGCGCTCAAAAATAACGATAAACAACGTGTTCGTTTTCTTGCATTCCTTCCAGTCTATTTCTTGTTTAGAATTGTTGCAGGGGAAACGTACATGTTCTTTCTTCGAGGAGATTTATGGAGATTAAGTTGGTCGTGCGGTTTAGTTTCCTAAAAATACGATATCCACTGCTCCTCAGCCTAATTTTTTCCAGGTGCTGCTGTGCCTCAAGTCTTGGCCTTCTGAGCATGTAGATGTTGATAAGCTGAAGTAAAGATGATAAAAAGGGAAATGATATATCAATGGCCTTTATATGGCAATATATATGCAATTTCTCTCTCTCTCTCTAGCCTCCGGGCTAGTACAGTTGTCGTGAATCACGGTTTTCGCCGTGACCACGACGGTGAAATGTTGTCATACTCCCTCTCATTTTAACTCTCCCGCAGGTATACAAAAAGGATGGAACAAAGGTCTCACCAGACACCTGCATAGAAAACGCGCCACCGGAAAGAAAACGCGGCTACCACCCTCCTTTTTGCTGTTTTATTCTATTTGTTTCTGTTTTTGAAGTAATAAAAAAAATTATTTTGATTTTTTTATTTTTACCTCAACACAGAATGTATCATGAATGAGTGAAGTAATTTTAGTTCTTTTATTTCTTTTACATGTTTATTTTGTCACTTTTATTTCTTTTAATGTAATTTTTAAATTCAATGAGTGAAAATATTCCCTCCTTAATTACGTTCTTTTCGCGCCACGAAGTTTAGATAAGTTTTTATAATATGCCCTCGTAATCATTGTGAATTGAGAGAACAAGACCCTAGGAACTGTGGGGCTGAGTGAATAGTAGATAGGTTAAATTATCAGAACGGGAAACCAACCGTGTCACACACCTCGGCATCATACTGCGTTTGGGGAGTCTCACGTCTCCTCTCGGCTAAATCACGCTTACCAAACTACACTTACACTCCTTCTCTCTCTCACACACTCACACACACTCACTATCTTCCCTTACACTATCATCATCTCACAACACTGACATCCCGTTCCCATACGGTAATTAAATGGGTGGTGGCAGCGAGGACTTTCCTTAATCTTTGCGAGAGATCATCCAACAGTACCGATTGCTACACAGTAGTAACGTGTCGGCCTGTCAGCCGAGGTGTCGGCGGTTTGCACCCTACCGAGGCGCGAGAAGTTGCAATTGTCGCCTGGAGGTTACTGCTGTGGCTGGGCACCACGGCGGGTAAGGACTAAGCTCAGCCGAGGTGAGGCTTAGCTTCGCATGTCGGACTTATCCTTCTCTCTCTCTCTCTCTCTCTCTCTCTCTCTCTCTCTCTCTCTCTCTCTCTCTCTCTATATATATATATATATATATATATATATATATATATACATATACATAGCCACCCGCCTACCTACCTGTCTATCTATCTACATTCGCTATTACAAACATTAAAACCCGATGTGACCCTAATGCAGAGTCGTGACAATGTCTTCGCTGTATTATGATTTTACGGGCCGAATTCAAGTGAATCCTATGTTTTTGAAATTCACTGCGAGAACACTAAAGAAAGATGATGATGATGATGACGATGATGGTGATGATATAATTATCATTACCGTTACTTTTAGCATTATCGTTATCACCCTCACTGACACTGTCATCATTGTCATCATTATTATCATTATCATTATTATCATTATCATCATAATGATAATAATGTACGAGCGTCTGGAGACGAAAGAGGGAGTGAATGAAGCGTACCGAATAGCCAAGCAGAGAAACAGACAAAGCCAGGACGTGCAGCAAGTGAAGGTGGTTAAGAGCGAAAATGGAGAAGTCTTGGTGGAGGGACAAGCTGTGCAGCAGAGATGGAAGGAGTACTTTGAAGACCTGCTTAACCAAGAAAATCCGAGAGCAGAGAGAGAAGATGCGAGGAAGAACGAGAGGGAAGTAGAGGAAGTCACTGAAGGTGAAGTTAAAGCAGTGCTGAAGAAGATGAAGAAAGGGAAAGCCAGAGGCCCCGATGACATACCAGTGGAGGCTTGGCTGTCGATGGGAGATGTTGGTAGTGGGTGGCTCACGAAGCTGTTGAACAACTTGCTGAAAGGAGAGAAGATGCCGGATGAGTGGAGGAAAAGTGTGCTGATACCTATCTACAAAGGCAAGGGTGACTCCAAGGAATGTGGAAACTACAGAGGAATAAAGTTGATGAGTCACACGATGAAGCTGTGGGAGCGAGTAGTAGAAGCAAGACTGAGGAGCGAAGTTGAGATCGGTGACCAGCAGTTCGGGTTTATGCCAGGAAGAAGTACCACAGATGCAATCTTCGCACTGCGGCAGGTGATGGAAAAGTGGCGAGAAGGCCAGAAGGAGTTGCACTGCCTGTTTGTTGATCTGGAGAAGGCATACGACAGGGTCCCGAGACAAGAACTGTGGGAATGTATGCGCCAGGCGAGGGTGTCCGAATGTTATGTGGAAGCCATCCAGGACATGTACGAGGGAGCGAGAACAGCAGTGAGAAGCGCGGCAGGACTGACAGAGGACTTTGAAGTAAAAGTGGGTCTACATCAGGGATCAGCGCTCAGTCCGTTCCTTTTTGCCATCATCATGGACGTACTGACGAAAGTGAGGAAAGAAGCCCCGTGGGACATGATGTTCGCGGACGACGTGGTGCTGTGCAGAGAGAGCAAGGAAGAGCTGCAGACAGACCTGGAACAGTGGAGAGACGCGCTCGAGAGGGCAGGTTTGAAGGTGAGTAGGAAGAAGACCGAATACCTACCAACAGAAGGAGCAGAACAGGGAACAATCAACCTGCAAGGAGAAGCTGTCAAGAAAGTAGAGAACTTCAAATACCTCGGGTCAGTAGTGAGTGCAGATGGGGGCAGCAAGGAGGAGATAAGAAGCAGAATTCAATCAGCCTGGCTGAGCTGGAAGAGGACCTCAGGGATTTTGTGTGACAGGAAACTGTCGGCTAAGTTGAAAGGAAAAGTGTATAAGACCGTTGTTAGGCCTGCGATGTTGTATGGGATGGAGACGGTGGCGGTGACTAGGAAACAGACAGAGAAGATGGAGACAGCAGAGATGAGAATGGTGAGATGGGCACTGAGGGTGACGCGGGAAGACAAGATCCAGAATAGATTTATCAGAGGGACGGCGAAAGTACGAAGAATTGGAGAAAAACTGAGAGGTGTAAGGTTGAGATGGTATGGACACGTCAAGAGGAGGGAAGAGAGCTACGTAGGAAAAAGAGTGCTGGAGGGTGCGGTGCCAGGAGAGAGGAGAAGAGGGAGACCGAGGAGGTGGAAAGACTGCGTGAGTGAGGACATGCGGGAGCTGGGAGTTGGAGAGGGAGACTGGGAGAACCGGAGGGAGTGGAGGGAGGTGACGCGCTGCGGCGACCCCGAATAGGGATGACGCTAAGAAGAAGAAGAAGAATCATTATCATCATTATTATCATTATCATTATTATCATTATCATCATTATTATCATTATCATTATTATCATTATCATCATTATTATCATTATCATTATTATCATTATCATCATTATTATCATTATCATCATTATCATCATTATCACCATTATCATCATTACCTCCATTACCATTATTATCATCATTATCCTCATTACCATCATTATCATCATTATCATCATTATCATTAATCATTATCATCAATATTATCATTATCATCATTACTATCATTATCATTATCATCATTATTATCATTTTCAGCATTATTATCATTATCATCATTATTATCATCTTTATTATCATCATCATTATCATCATCATCATCATTATCATCATCATCATTATCATCATCATTATTATCATTATCATCATTATCATTATCATCATTATTATTATCATCATTATTATCATTATCCTCATTATTATCATTATTACCATTTGTATCATTATCATCATTATCATTATCATCATTATTATCATCATCGTTATTATCATTATCATCATTGTTATCATTATCATCATTATCATTATCATCATTATTAGCATTATCATCATTATTAACATTATCATCATTATTATCATTATCATCATTATCATTATCACTATTATCATTATCATCACTATTATCATTATCATTATCATCATTATTATCATTATCATCATTATCATTATTATCATCATTATCATCATTATCATTATTATTATTACTATCATTATTATCAATATTATCATTATTATGATTACCATCATCATTATTATTATTATTGCTTTCACCATCTACATTATCATAATTATTATTGTTATCACCATCTACATTATCATTATTATTTTTAATATCATCATTATGATTGTAGCTCATACTAATAATGATCATATTACTACTATCATCGTAGTTATTTTCAATACTATTATCATTATTATAATTATTATTATTGTCCTTCTCATTATTGCTATTATCATTATTCTAATAGTGTTACCATTATTGTTATGATTACAGTTATTATCAACGATATAATTTTTTGTTGTTAACCTCATCGTCATCATCAGCATTCATAATTATAATAATCATCATTATTGTCATTTCTAACCTGCATTCTTGATATATAAAGATATTAATAGAAAAAAAAATGCTAATTTATCTTAAGTTCCCAAATATTCATAAAAAGTTAAACTATAACGAGCTGAATCTGCATTTTTTTATAAATGTTTTTTTTTCTACGTATTGGTTTCTCCTATTATAATTCTGTGCTCTGCCAGATATATCAGTCGAGTTATTAAATTTGCAGTCAAGGCAAAAGTACAAAGGGCCAAGATAAACTTAATTACTTTCCAGTGAATCAAATCAGTAATTGGTATAGTATACTAATTGGATGGTTTAATCGATATAAGATTTACTCTGGTAAGGCAAGTAAGGGTGAAAGTTTTTTCAAATGAATAGTTAATTAATTTCCCGTGACGCCTCCGCTCTCACGGGACCTTGAGCAAGGGTCTCCGGGATTCTATCAGAGTCTGACAGCATTGCAGATCCTGACTTCACAGATGACTTCGGATTAACGTACTTGCAAGTAAAGGAAACATTGTGGAAACCAAGCGTCTGTCATTTATGATTATTACTTACTATGTATGTAACAAACTTATCGAAATGCCGTGTTTAGGCACCTTGACCTTAAGTTAACTGCATTTCCTTTTTTGTTATAAGGCACATGTCAATCCAAAAATCACTGTTTTAATTGCCAGTCATTACTCTTTAATAATTCTAAAAACTTTTGGTTATTCTATAAATACAACAGCGTCAACGACGGAAAAGCGCCGTCAGCAGCACCACTTACTATAATAATCGTATTCGAGTAATAACATCAAAAGGGCGAAGAATAAAATCAGTTATATACTTGACAAAAAAAAATGATCAACATACATTAGTACTGGAGCACACCAAACGGTATTTTCATGCGAATATGAAGACAGTTTTTTATGAGTCTCATCTTACTAACCGTTCATATTTTCAGTAGACGACACATCTGTTATATTCAAGGCAAGAAATAGGTTACTTGCTTTATTTTTGAAAATCCACTATGTATGTATGATTG